AATTTCCACTTTCTTTCCATGTTCTATACATATCTTGGATAGGTATCTATAAACTTTTTTTAAAAATGTATTTTTTTATTGATTTTTAGGGAGAGAGGAAGGGAGAGGGAGAGGGAGAGAAAGAGAGAGAGAAAATAAAAAAAAATATTGACGTGACAGCAAAGTATCGATTGGCTGCCCCCTGCCTGGGATTGAGTCCGCAATGTGAGCATGTGTCCTGACTAGGAATCAAACCAGCAACCTTCTGGTACACAGGGCGATGCCCAGTCAACTGAGCCACACTGGCCAGGGCGGTAGCTATAAACTTTTAAAATGTTATTGCAGCTGGTAGTGGCCAAGGTACTCGGAAACATTTTTAGAAGCTTAAAGCTTGTTTTACATACCACTGATTCATTATGCTTCCTGTCTCACACTGCAAGTGACAAAGTTACTAAGCATAGAAACTTAAAATAAGCAACTTCTATATTCTGCAAGTCTTAAAAGCCATGTTTTTATCCTGAGAAGGAAGAAAGTAATTTATAATAACATCATCTGCCACAGTATTTGAAGTCTGTTTCTTATCACCTCATCTTGTTTTGTCTGAAGCGAAGAGAGACATTCTCTTTCTCTTAAAACTCTTTTTAGAAGGGAAAAATAGTCTGCACATTTCTCATTATTTATGTTTTTTTTTTTTGTTTTTTTTTTTATCCTCACCCGAGGACATTTTTTGTTCAGATAGAGTGGGAGGGAGAGAGAGGAAGAGAGAGAGAGAGAAACATTGACGTGAAGGGACACATCGAGTGGCTGCCACCCGCACGACCAACCAGGGCCGGGGACAAACTGCAACCGAGGTACATGCCCTTAGCGGGAACCGAACCCGGGTCTCTCGGGACCGCAGGCCGACGCTCTAACCGCTGAGCCAAACCAGCCAGGGCCTTTATTTATGGTTTTGACGGCTGGTTCCTTGCTATAAATCATTGAATGAGGAAGTCTCTTTGAACTCTTAAGTTTTGCAGTGTGTAATGAACACTGGGTCATTATTCCAGACATTTAGAGATATTCCTTCAAGTCATGTTTAGAGAATAAGAAGATTAGGAAGTAACTTACTGACACAACCCTCATCAACCCTGGTGTTTATCTGCTATTCAGCTATTTGTAAATTTTCATTACTGATTACAAATGGAAAAGAATTGTTCATCAAATTTTTCCTGAAATCAGTTTTAGGCCAGTAAACCACAGTGGATAAAGGTGGCCACTTGAAGCTTTATCTCTGTGAAATAATGGAACTTATATGGAGTGAGGAGCTGATGGAGAATGGCACATCAGCAAACCAGGGATATTTGGTGCAAGGGCAAGCTGAGGTACCCCTTCATGTGCTCTCATGTCATCAGTACGGGACTCAAGTTATATGTGTATTTGCTGTAAGACAGTTTGCAGTCGACCCTCATTTATCGTGGTTAATCAATTCCAGACTCTACCACGATAAGTGAATTTCCGCGAAGTAGGATTTTTTATTTACTATACAGTCGTCCCTCGCCACTTTGCGCTTTGACTTTTGCGACTTCTATCACGGTTTTTTCAAATATAATACAGTAGTATAGTATTTGAAAAAACCGTGATAGAGTGAAGCCGCGAAAGTTGAAGCATGAAGTGGCGAGGGATGACTATACTGCCATTGAGCCTCTAGAGAGAAGATTTCCTATCCCATTCAGTGTACAGTACTGTGCCTATACTCAATAAATGTTTACTAAGTGGGTGGAAGGATATATTTTATGCTAGAGATGTTTTATATAAAAAATGTTAAAAATAAGTAACCTTGACTTAAAGGAGTTGACTCAACTAGTGGAAAATTCACACATGTACAATACCTCATATGTGTTTTAGATGAGTCATAATTGAATCTAGTTTGCTCAATTAGGTTCTACTTATACATATTATAAATACCAATTGCATAACTAAACTGCAGATTTGTTTATGACATTTTAAGGTGTCCTTGGCTTTATATCTTGGGCTACCCATTGGCCTCATATTGCTTGGGATAGGAACACAACCTCTGAACAGCTTCATTTCTCAAAGTTTCTAGGGCTAACTGATCTCTAACTCTCCTCAGGAGCCTGAGTTTGACAGTCAGGCCAAACCACAGCTCACACTTTTCAAAGCAGCAGGCTCTTCCCATGCCCTTCACACTAAGACTCTTTTAGATATGCATCACAGCCCGATTGAGCTAAATCCAGGGACCCTGCATGCCTCCATGTCCACCAAGGGTGACTGGGTTTAGTGCCTCCTCAGCTTACTCGGTGTCCTCTGAGGGTCCTCTTTGGAGTGCTTGCACCATCAGTGCTTTGCATCTCTTCCCCTTCTTTCCACTTTGTGATCTTGCCTCTGGAATTCCTCTTTTTGGGTTAAGCAACAGCCATACTGCTTTAGCCTCTTTCATTCACCTCCTTGGCTACCTGAAACCTCCTTTTCTCTGAGGCTACTCTGTCTTCCTCAGGGGTATGCAGGTGAAATCATGGTGTGTTTTATCTCCAAGACCAATTCTAGGCATCATCCACTGCCTCTTCTGTGGAAACCTCTTTCCCTTGCTATGCCACCTTCTCCTTCCTTATTGCTGCTATGTCTTCTGATCTCCTGCTCACTTGCCCCCCCCCCCTTTAAATGCCTTTGTGTTCTCCCAGTCCTTTTGCTTTTTTTTTTTTTAATCCTCACCTGAGGATGTGTTTTTACTGATTTTTAGAGTGAGAAGAAGTGGGAAAGAGAGAGAGAGAGAGAGAGAGAGAGAGAGAGAGAGAGAGAAACATCGATGTGAGAGAAACATGTCCCTAGCGAGAACTGAACCCAGGTCTCTCCAGACCACAGGCTGACGCTCTAACCGCTGAGGCAAACTAGCCAGGGCCCAGTCCTTTTTCTTTAAGGCAAGTTACTCAGCAGCCGCTTTATCCCTTCACCCTCTGTGGTTTCCTTACTTTATCTTCTGGCCCATTTTCATCATGTAGACCTCTTCTATCTGACCATAACCTTAAGTCTCCTGATATTTTCACTCAGTCACCTCTATGTTACTTGCTCCATTTTATCTTTCTTAAAATTAACAGATTTTTCTTTGGAGTATAATTGACATACAATAAACCGTACATATTTAAAATGTACATTTTGATAAGTTTTAACATAGGTATCATACCAGTGAAACCGTTACTATCATCAAGATAATGAACATAGCCATTATTCCCAAAAGTTTTCTCATGATCATTTACCACTCTTCTCCACCTTACCCCCAGTCCCAGGCAACCACTGATTTGCTTTTTGTCACTATAGATTAGTTTGATTTTTCTAGAGTCTTCTAGAATCATGCAGTGTGTACTCATTTTTTTGGCTTTTTTCACTTAGTATAATTATTTTGTGACTACTATGTTGTATGGTTATACCTCGGTTGTTTATCTGTTTACTTGTTGATAAACATTTGGGTTGTTTCTAGTACTTGGCTACAAATAAAGCTTATGTATGTGTGTAAACACTTGTGTACAAGTCTTTGTCGGCATGTGCTTTCCTATCTCTTGAAAATAGAATGGCTGAATCTTATAAAGGTATATATTCAACTAATGATCTTGAGCATCTTTTCATGTGCTATTTGCTTACATCAGTGTGTGGTGAAGTATGTGTTCAGTGGTATTGCTCATTTTTTTTTAATCCTCACCCGAGGACATTTTCCATCTTTTTGTTCAGGTAGAGTGGGAGGGAGAGAGAGGAACAGAGAGAGAGAGAGAAACATCGACGTGAAAGGAACACATCGAGTGGCTGCCACCCGCACAACCGACCAGGGCCGGGGACAAACTGCAACCGAGATACGCGCCCTTAGCGGGAACCGAACCCGGGTCTCTTAGGACCGCAGGCCGACGCTCTAACCGCTGAGCCAAACCGGCCAGGGCAGTATTGCTCATTTTTTAAATTGAGTTGTTTTCTTAATATTAAAATTTGAAAGTTCTTTATTCTGGATTTAAGTATTTTGTCAGATACATGACTAGGAAATATTGTCTTCCCATGTCTGGCTTGTCTTTTTATTCTCTTAGTAGTAGACATTTGAATTTTGATAAAGTCCAACTTAATAATTTTCCTCTTATAGATTCTGCTTTAAAATGTCATGTCTAAGGAATCTTTGCCTAACCCAAGATCACAAAGATTTCCTCCTGTGTGTTCTTCTTGAACTTTTATACTTACCTATTTCACATTTATGTCCTTGATTCATTTTGAGTTCATTTTTGTTCATTTCAAGTTCATCCTATGGACTGCTGCTCCCTTGTGTTTATTATAGACATTATAGTGCCAGAGGGTTCTGTGTTTCTGCTCCACTGGCAGCTTTCAATAGAGACCTTGATACCAGCACCCCAGAGGGTAATTCTCTCTGTTTTTGCTCCTTTCCTGGTAGTATACTGCCATTGCTTATTGATTGGTTTGAGGCATGATATATAGAGAGACTTTGTTTTGTTTAAAAAAATTTTTTTTTTCTTTTATTGATTATTAGAGAGGAAGTGAGAAGGAGAGAGAGAGAAACATCAAGGAGAGAGAACATCGATTGGCTGCCTCCTGCATGCCCCGCAGTGGGGATTGGGCCCACAACCTGGGCATGTGTCCTGACCAGGAATTGAACCGGTGACCTCCTGGTACATGGGTAGATGCTCAATCACTGAGCCTGACTGACTATTGTTTTTAGTTCTCACCCAAGGATATTTTTCTATTGATTTTTCGATAGAGTGGAAGGGAGTAAGAGGAGAGAGAGAGAAAAACATTGATGTGAGACAGACATATCAATTGGTTGCCTCCTGTGTGACCCCAGCCGGGGCCAGTGATTGAACCTGCAACCCAGGTACGTGCCTTTCTTTGACCAGGAATCGAACCTGCAACATTTCAGTCTTTGGGCCGATGTTCTAACCCCTGGGAAAACCAGCCAGGGCTAAAATAATTTTTTTTCAGTGTACTAGGTGAGTGTTTCAAGTAGAAAACATTTCTTGTACCTTTGATGATTTCAGGCAGACTTAAAAAAAAGAATTTTGGAACCCTCACATGGCTAAGACCCTTTCTCAGTAACAAATGAAGAACCTGATCCAAATTGGGTATGTGTTTCAAGATGCTAATTAGGGGAGAGTACAGGGAATTGAACCTGTGACCTGTTCATTTGCCATACTGGCGGGCTGGAGGGAATTTCTTAAAAATTAAAACTAAGAACGGATTTTATAATGTTAAATTTAGATTTGAACTATCTTTGTGAACTTGTGGTCTTTAAAAAGAACCTTAAAAAGATTGTCACTTCTTTCTCAGGAGAAATGATTAAGAATGGCAATTCTTTGAAATAAAAATGAGATATGCAAGAAAGTAGATTTAGAAAATACTGATGGATTTGTTTCCATTAAAGCCAGGAAAGCAAAATTATAGTACATTCTGTTGTATAGATAAGATATTTAAACTAGTGTTAGTTTTAATACTTTTTAATATTGAGGTTTTTGATTTTTCAATATTTTTTCAACATTTTAACATTCTGGGAAAAATTAGCTAGTGAAAAAACGTAGTGGTATACATTTTACCTTTTACCCCAGGATCCAATATGGCTTAGCTCAACACTGATACTTATAGAAAATTTTAATATTGTTCATCATGGACTTTTGGCATTAATTATGATTTTTAAAACCATTTCATTAAAATATTTATTTTGATTACTGAGTTTTTGTTGCCTCCTTACGTTTTGTGCAGAACCATCACTCTTCTCATCCTAGCCCCAGCCTTGGTGTTCTTACTGCCTCCTAACAAATAAAAAGACTTACATTTCAGGACATTTATAAAATACGATAAATGTTAGCCAATAGAAGTTAGAAGTTTGGAGAATCAGTTCAACTAATTAGATTTTACTTATTCATTTAGTCTTTTTTCACATGAATCAATGTAGTAGCAACCAGTAGAGTTAAAGAGATGTGGGTGGGTGTAATCAGAGTTTGTGTGAGTTTAAAAATCAAACAGGTAAGATACATAGAGAGAAACTTTTTTGAATTAAAATGAAAAATTCATAATGTTGAAGTTAGAGTGGAAATATCTTTGTGAATTTATGGTCTTAAGAATACCTAATGTGGCCAGGCAAGGCTGTCTGTCACCAGTTCTCATGTTGAAACCTTCTGTTCTTGTACTCCCCACTGTACAAATTTGTTGTTATTATAAAGAGTTCCTTAATATGCTTTTCATGTACCAGACACTGTTTTGAGTATTTATATATATATATATATATATATATATGTATTACCTCATTTAAATCTCATTAACAGTTATCCATGCTAGGTACTGTTATCCCGTTTTACAGATGAGAAAACTCAGGCTGGGTGAGATTAAGTAACATCCAGGTTATACATAAGTGCAGAAGCTAGATTTTAACCCCAGCAGTCTTGACCTAAGTCTGGCTTGTAACTGCTAAACTGTACTGTTTCATGTGCACAGGAGTTTCTGAACACAACAGGATGGAATAGATAGTATATTAGTTTTCTATTACAGCTGTAACAAACTACCAGACTAATTTCAGAATGTCGTGATCTGTTGACATTCTGTATGTCTGTTTGTAAAGCCTGCCCTATTTATTTAATTTTTTATTTATTTAAATTTAAATCCTCATTGATTTTCGTGGGAAGGAGAGAGTAGGAAAGGGTGGGAAGGAGAGAGAGAGAGATCTAGGTAGGTAGATAGATTCATTGATGGGAGAGAGAAACATTGATTGGTTGCCTCCTGTATGTGCCCAGACCAGGGATCGAACACCCAACCTGGTATATGCCCTGACTGGTATTCAAACCTGCAGCGTTTTGGTGTATGGGATAATGTTCCAACCAATTGAGCCACCTGGCCAGGGCTATAAAGTCTGTCGTTTTGTTTTGTTTTTTAAATCCTCACCCAAGCTCTGGCCGGTTTGGCTCAGCACTTAGAGTGATGGCCCACAGACCAAAGAGCCGCTTTGGTTGATTCCAGTCAAGGGCATGTACCTTGGTGTGGTTTGGTCCCAGGCTCTGGTTGGGGTCATGTGGGAGGCAGCCAGTCGATGTGTCTCTCACATCGATGTTTCTCTCTCTTTCTCTGTCTCTCTCTTCCTCTCTCTCTATCTGAAAAATAAAAATAAATTTTTTTAATTAAAAAAAAATCCTCACCCAAGGATATTTTTCTACTTATCTTCAGATAAAGTTGGGGTGGGGGGAAGAGAGAGACACAGATTAGTTGCCTTCTGCATGACCAGACCAAGGCAGGGACTGAACTGCAACTGAGGTACTTGCCCTTGACCAGAATTGAACCCATAACTCTTTGGTCTGTGGGCCAACGCTCCAGCCGCTGAGCCAAACCGACCAGGACTAAACTCTGTCATTTTTAAATGCATTATCTGCTTCTTGAACAGGAAAAAATGGATATAGGTAACTATGGGTAGGCCAGAAACCAAAAATTAAAATATTGGATCCATTGCAAGAAGGAGGAGGACTGATGAGCCCTAGTGGTCACACATGATGACCAGGAGAAAGTACAGTGATACCTCGGTTCTCGAACGCCTCGGTTTTCGACCAAATGGAGATTCGAGAAACTTTTGTCTCGGAATCCGAACAAATATTTGGAACTCGAACTTCCGAGATGAGCCGAGTTGAGCCGAATGGCGTTCATTCGGCCCAGCGCGCCTTGCTTGCGTCATCAGTGTGAGTGCAGAGAGAGAGTCACGCTTTGTGGAGTCACGCTTTCCTATTGGGTTTCATTGCTTCGGTTCTCGAACAATTCGGTTCTCGACCGTCCTCCTGGAACGAATTATGTTCGAGAACCGAGGTATCACTGTATTACTGAGAATGTGTTATAAGACAATAGGGTTGCCAGATGTTTGGGAAGAGAACTGTCTGTGCAGACTATATCCAGAGTCTCCTGGGAGGTGGAGTGTCGGTTGACCTTGCCAACCATCATGAGATCCTCAGAGGCATATTGGAGCAAATAGTAAACTGAGCCAGGCCAGACTTTGTCTAAGAATGGTTGAAGATGGAGGCAAGAGACAAGGCCCCAGGTTGAGAAAAGTTGTGCGGTAAAATAGTCATATGAGCACTGGCACTAAATCTTAGCTGGGAGAGAGCCCAGCCAGTAAGTGCTGGCTGTAGACCAAAATTACTCAATATAGTTTGAGATACAAGAAGTGGAGGGTGAAGGTCACTTTAACTTCCTTTAGTTAATCGTAAACCATAGTGATTTAGTGCTGTAACCTAGTCATAACAATAGTGAGTTTCCACAGAGCCCCAGCGTGAGGTGTTATAAACAGTAGAGCAGTTGTACAAGGTTCCTTCACATAGCCATTGTACATTCTGACTAATGAATTCCTAAAGTGTATGTATTTAATTAATATACATGTATCTGTTTTCATAGGTACGACCTATAGCAATCGTTGAGACACTGGCTTTATTTCTTGGTAGAGTAAATGTGATTAGATATCTAATTTTTTTTTCTTTTTATGTTCAGATAGAATGGGGAGGGAGAGAGAGAGAGAGAAACATTGACACGAAAGGGACACATCGAGTGGCTGCCACCCACACAACCCATCCAGGGCCAGGGACAAACCGCATCCGAGGCACGTGCCCTTAGCGGGAACCAAACCTGGGTCTCTCTGGACCGCAGGCCAACGCTCGACCGCTGAGCCAAACCGGCCAGGGCGATATCTAATTTTTTCTCAAAAAAATAGATAGGAAGAAAAGGTTTTCTTGCCTAAGAATTCTGATATATTTTTTATTTTGAAAAATTTCTTTCTTTTTAAGGTTAAGATTCCATGTATAGGCTACATATGTTATTTAGTTGGGGTTGTCAAGCCAACTCTGTACTAAGGGCATGAACACATCTATAGAATAATAGGTAATATGTTTCTATCATCATAAGAGTGACTTTTCTAATTACAGTGGGCTGCAGCACCAAACTTTTTGCAGTTGACATGTGTAGTTCTGAATAAACCTTGATTCCTCTCCTCACTAGTGACCAAAGAACTCTGCTAGAGGATTTGTTGATGGACCAAACCCATAAATGGGGTTGTCATTACAAGGAGGGAAATACATTATTCTGAATATTTGTGAAATGTTCATACATGAATCTCTTATGAGCAAGAGCTTTATATAATTTTTACCTTTAGAGATTTAAAAAAAGTATTCATTTTTTACATGACAAGAGATATTTGCACACAATCTACTATGGATATCTCTGTTTCCTTAATATCATTTTGAATAATTTGAATATTATTTAAAATAATTTTGAATAGGTTCATACTCAAAGTACTTTTATTAAAAACATCTCTCCTATGACATTGCTTTGCTTTTGAAGGTCAGCCTTCTTCCTTTTATTTTTTATATTTTGTTATGGAACATTTTTTTTTTCTAAAACTGATCTTGTAAAAATAGATCTTAAATTTATATACTCCATTTCTAATTTATTATTTTAAACTTTCAGGCTCAACTTTAAAGAAGCTTCTACACACTGGAAATTCCACTAAGGTATTTATTTTAGATGAATGCGTAATGGCATTTTTTATTACTCTTAAGTTATTCCATAAAGCAACAAAATTAAGCCATTTGAAAGAACTTTAAAAACCACTTGACTTAGTTTTGTTTTTAATTGAGAAATTATATTTCCAATATTGTTAGAGTTTTTGTTCTTATAACTTACTGCCACAGACATTTTAAATATTTTTATTTATTTATTTTAAAATTTTTGTTACAAATGTTTCTCTTTTTTCACCCAATGACACCCTCCCCCAATCCCCCTCTACCCCCAGTATTGTTGTCTGTGTTCAAGGTTATGCATACATGCAAGTAACTTCTGTGGTTTATTTCTTTTCTACCCACCATACCCCTCTTCTGAGGATTGTCAGTCTGTACTCTACTTCTGTGTTTCTGGGTTTATTTTATTCATCAACTTGTTTTGTTCATTATATTCCACAAATAAGTGAGATCATGTGATATTTGTCTTTCTCTGATTGGCTTGTTTCACTTAGAATAATACTCTCCAGGTTCCTCTATGTCATCTCAAAGGATAAGAGATTTTTCTTTCTTACAGCTGCATAGTATACCATTGTGTATGTGTACCACAGCATTTTTATCCATTCATCTATTGATGGACACAGTTGTTTTCCATATCTTAGTTATTGTAAATAGTGCTGCTATGAACGTGGGGGTACATATATTCTTTCTGATTGGTGTTTTGGGCTTCTTAGAATATATTCCTAGAAGTGGGATCACTGGGTCAAATGACAGTTCAATTTTTAATTATTTGAGGTAACACCATATTGTTTTCCATAGTGGCTGCACCAGTCTGCATTCCCACCAGCAATGTACTAGAGTCCCCTTTTCTCCACACCCTCGTCAGCACTTGTTGTTTGATGATTTGTTGATGGCAGCCATTCTGGCAAGTGTCATTTTAATTTGCCTAGTCATTTGAATTTGCATCTCTTTGATGATTAGTGACATTGAGCATTTTTTCATATGTCTCTTGGCCATTTGTATATCCTGTTTGGAGAGGTGACTATTTAGATCCTCTGCCCACTTTTTAATTGGATTCTTTGTCTTCCTTTTGTTGAGTTGTATGACCATTCTATATATTTTGGAAATTAACCCCTTATCTGTGTGTTTAGCAGTTATGCTCTCCCATATAGTGGGTTCGCTTTCCATTTTGATGGTTGTTTCTTTTGCTGTGCAGAAGTTTTTGGTTTGATGTAGTCCCATGTATTCATTTTTTCCTTTGTTTCTCTTGCCTTAGGAGTTGTATCAGTGAAAATTCTGCTGCATGTGATGTCTGAAATTTTGTTGCCTACATTTTCTTCTAGGATTTTTATGAATTCATGAGGCATATTTAAGTCTTTCATTGATTTTTGAGTTTATTCTTTTGTATGGTATAAGTTGGTGGTATAGCTTCATTTTTTTGCATTGTAGCAGTCCAGTTTTTTTTAAGCACCATTTATTGAAGAGGTGGTCTTTACTCCACTGTTTGCTCTTGCCACCTTTGTCAAATATTAATTGAGCATAATGGCTTGGGTTAATTTCTGGTTTCTCTGTTCTGTTCCGTTGATCTATATTCCTGTTCTTGTGCCAAACCAGGCTGCTTTGATTACTATGGCTTTGTAGTATAACCTGATATCTGGTATTGTGATCCCTCCTACTTTGTTCTTCTTTATCAAGATTACTGTGGCTGTTTGGGGTCTTTTTTGGCCCCATATACACTTTTGGAGTATTCGTTCTAGTTCTGTGAAGTATGTTGGTATTTTGATGGGGATTGCACTGAATCTATAGATTGCTTTGGGTAGTATGGACATTTTAATGATAATTTTTTCAATCCATGAACAAGGTATATGCTTCCAATTTTTTATGTCTCTATTTCCTTTTTCAGTTACCTGTAGTTTTCTGAAAATAGGTCCTTTACTTCTTTGATTAAGTTTATTCCTAGGTATCTTAATTTTTTGCTGCAATGATAAATGATATATATTTTTTTTGTTTCTATGAGTTTATTGTTGGTGTATAAGAATGTTCTCAATTTCTTGACGTTAATTCTGTGCCCTACTACTTTGCCAAATTCATTTATCAAATCTAGTAGTTTTTTTTTTTTTAATCCTTACCGAGGACATTTTTGCATTTATATTCAGATAGAGCGGGAGGGAGAGGAGGAGGAGGAAAAGAGAGAGAAAGAAACATTGATATGAGAGACACATCAAGTGGTCACCACCCACATGGCCCCATCCGGGGCCGGAGACAAACGGCAACCGAGGTACGTGCCCTTAGCAGGAACCGAACCCGGGACACTTTGATCTGTGGGCTGTCACTCCAACTGCTGAGCCAAACCGGCCAGGACAAATCTAGTAGATATTTGATGGAGTCTTTAGGGTTTTTTATGTCATGTCATCTGCAAATAATGAGAATTTTATTTTCTCCTTTCTAATTTGGATCCCTTTTATGTTTTCTTCATGTTTTATAGCTGTGGCTAAAACATCTAGTATTATGTTAAATAACAGTGGCGAGCCCTGGCCAATTTGGTTCAGCGGTAGAGTGTCAGCCTGTGGACCACTAAGTCTCAGGTTTGATTCCAGCCAAGGGCATGTACCTTGGTTGTGTTTCGTCCCTGGCCCTGGATGGAGTCGTGCAGGAGGCAACCAGTCGATGTGTCCCTCTTATGTTGATGTTTCTCTCTCTCTTTCTCCCTCTCTCTTTCTCTCCCACACTCTCTGTTGATAAATAGAAAAAAGAAAACAAGGAAGAGTGGCAAAAATGGGCATTCCTGTTTGTTCCTGTTCTTAAGGGAAATGCTTTTAGTTTTTGCCCATTGAATATGATGTTGGCTGCAGGTTTTTTATATATGGCCTTTAGTATGTAAAGATATGATCCCTCTCTTGGCAAAATGGCAGCATAGTGAATGGAAGCTACACAGACCATCTCTCAGGACCAAACTAGAATTACAACGAAAATAAAGACAGATCATCAGGAAAGGAAACAGAAAAGCAGCTTGGAGGACCACATAACCAGGGACACTGACTCAATCCTGGTAGGCTTGCGGAGACACGAGAGGGGGACTGAGAGCCCATGGTTAGCAGCGGCCTTAGCTGTGAGCAGCCGCCTTAGCTGTGAGCAGCAACCTTGGCTGTGAGCGGCACCCTTGGGTTAAACTCCCAAGTGGCTCAACAGTGCAGCACCGGGGCAGACGCTAAAATAGCAGCAGCCACTTACCTTGGGCTCCGGCAGAGGGAGGGCAGACTGGACTGGAACTGTGTGGGGACACTGGGGATTTGGAGGGCACTCAGAGCTTTTGCTTAGTTGTGCCCACGAAGGACTGTAGTCATGTTACTACTTCCCAGGGCTATTAGTAGAGGTGGCGGCCCCTCCCTTGGAGATTCAACCCCACTCAGTGGCCACTGAAATGCTACTTAAGGCCCATTAACAACCAGCATCTTCCCAACCCTTGGGAAATCTTCTTATGCTGACCACCTGAGGGAGTTTTTCATTCAACTGAGAAGCCAAGGTTCTTTTCAGGTAACCCCTACTGATAGCCTCCAGGCAAAAAGCTAGAGGAAAACTGTACCATCCCCTGGGGTAATAACTTTAACCAGGAAAGTAAGACTTGACAGTGGTGTGTAATGTGGGTCCTCTCGGGCTCATCCAAACCCAGGCGAGGGAACCACAAACATCAGAATACCAACACCCACAGGGAAAATTTGGCAGGCTCCAAAGCCCACTTTGGTAGCCAAAATGGTGAACCACAGAAACAAAAGCCAAATGAAAGAACAAGAGACCTCTACCGAAGAGGAGATAAATGAGGTGCAGAAATAAAGAACACATTGGAAGGTATATATAGCAGAGTAGAGGAAGCTGAGGACTGGATCAGTGAATTAGAAGACAGGGTGAAAAATCATCCAATCAGAAAACCAAAAGGAAAAAGCAATTACAAAACAGCAAGACAGCTTAAGAGAACTGTGGGACAACTGGAATGTAATAACATTCGCATCATAGGAGTCTCCAAAGAAGAAAATGAGCAAGGTTTAGAGAATATATTTGAAGAAATAGTGACAGAAAACTTCCCTAATTTGGTGAAGGAAGAAGGCACTCAAGTTCAAGTTCAAGAAGAACAGAGAGCCACAAGTAATACGAACCCAAACAGGCTCACATCAAGACACATAGTAATCAAAAAGCCAACAATTAAAGACAAGGAGAGAATCCTAAAGGCAGCAAGAGATAAGCAACAGGTTACCTACAAAGGAAACCCCATAAGGCTCTCAGCTAACTTCTCACAAGAAACACTGCAGGCCAGAAGGGAATGGCATGAGGTAATCAAGGTCATGAAAAACAAGGATCTGAATCCAAGATTACTCTACTCAGCAAGGCTATCATTCAAAATAGAAGGTCAAATAAAGAGCATCCCCGACAAAAAAAGGCTAAGGGAATACATTAGCACCAAACCAGCACTGCAAGAAATGTTAAAAGGACTGCTGAAATTAGCAGGAGAAATAAGAAGAAAAATATAACCACACTAAACAAAAATAGCAATAAATAAATACATATAAATAATCACCTTAAATGTGAATGGATTGAATGCTCTGATAAAAAGACACAGAGTAGCTGACTGGATAAGAAAGAATGACTCATCTATATGTTGTTTACCAGAGACTCATCTCACAACAAAAGACTCACATATGTTGAAAGTGAAGGGATGGAAAAAAATCTTTCAAGCAAACGGAAAGGAAAAAAAAGCTGGGGTAGCAATACTCATATCTGATAAAAATAGATTTCAAAATGAAGGCCATAACTACAGACAAAGAAGGCTAATACATAATATTGAAAAGATCTATCCAACAGGAAGATATAACCTTGATAAACATATATGCACCCAATATAGGAGCACCAAAATATATTAAAAAACTTCTGGAAGACTTCAAAGGAGAAATCGACAGCAATACAATCATAGCATGGGACTTAAACACCCCACTGACATCACTGGAGAGATCCTCTAGAAAAAA